AGCCAGCAGAGCAAGATTTTAAGGTCCTTCTGGAAATCCAAGACGGTGCTATAGGATCTCACATCCAGCAGTAGATTGTTCCAAAAGATGGGATGGAGCAGAAAAGATGCGACCCCCACCATCTGAAATTCCTTGACAGACAGGATCTTTAGCATGCCCTTTCTGCTGACATGAGTGGGGTGGCCCAATTCCATCATAGCTAGTCAGCTCCTGCAGATAGAATTATCATACTATCAAAGTGTTCCAGAATCTGCAGTGCTCATTTACTGGAGGATTCCCATCTGTTATCCCCTGCCACCACCCCAGTTTAATAGAAAGAATGCAAGGGCTTTGCTGCTGGATTTCTGGTGGCATCTCACTGGAAAAGGGCTTTTTGAAAGCCAAGAGATTTCAGAAAGACAACTGCTGATCTTCTACAGCAATTGTCAAATGCCCCCAGGAATGTAACTATTCAGTTCCATTAAAGATACTAAAAAAGTCTAGGAAAATAAATAGGGAAGTTCAATTTGTTTTATTTAGAACAAGCTTATAATTATTGTAGAACATCCATTATAACTGGCTCATTAATCATAAAATTATACACTACCAGGAAATTGCACATTATCAGAAAATTACAGAAAAATATCTGTAATTATTGCCATGAGATAGATATTCTTTTAGAATCATTAAGGGAAGTAACATTAGCAGATTGTTGGGTCTGAATTTTTAATTATTTATTTGATTGGGTAAAGGACATTCATGATTAGATAGTTAACCACTCTTCATAAAGGAGATGTAATATACCACCATGTCAATAATGCTATTTCCTTGAAGAAATAGGGAAGGGAAATATCCCAAGCTTAATGAATGGCAAGCTAGTGTCTACCCGGAGTGAGGGACTAAAACAACTGTTTCACAAGTCCTTTTGGCCACGCAGCTAGGAATTCTAAAAATTGTACCCTAACTTACCTAAATTCTGTTAGCTTGTAGAGAGGCTACATTACATGGCCCATAGAACTCAGTTTACATTTAAGATTTAATTCTAGGAGAGCCATTACTGGTCAAGCCTAAAATGGGTCTATTATAACTCAGTTTTTATCATTTATGCACATAGGAAAAGTGTGTGTGTATCCCTCTGTGTGTAAATGTGTATGGGTGGAAGGATGCATGAAAGAATAGTCAGATAAATAGATAGATACAGAGAGAGAGAGGAGGTTGTTCATTTTTGTCTTAAGTTTACCTGTTATTTATACATTCAAAAATAGCACAATGTTTAAAATGGTATTTTATTTCATTACCCAAGCTAGGTAAAGTCATTAGTGCTAGCAGGGAGTGGTATTTGCTATCAGTTTATATTCTAGTGGGTGTTGGCTGCTAGCAGGGAGCTTTTTTGATTGTTATTTTCCCTTCCCTTGGCTCGTTGATTGCCTTCTTTGAATAGTATGTAAATGTTGTTTATGTCTATGTGTCTATAGGTGGCCCATTTGTCAGAATTCCAAGTTTCCAGGAATTCTCTAGCATTTTTGGATTTGGTCTGGTCTAGGATGGTCACAGTTTTCCAGTTGAACTAGGAAACAACTGGGAAACTGTGACCATCCAAAATGAGCAGAGATTAACATCAAACCAAGAATCAAGAAATAAACAATACCCCAATCAAGGAACTTTCAAATAAGCTAACAGTAAAGAGCCCAAGAACATAAACGGGGAGCAACTCCATTCCCTGCTAGCATTGATGATGTTACCTAATTTTTATAATGAAACATCTGCAAGAAAACATCCAAGCTCAGAGAGCACCAAGGACCCCTCATTAAGGTAAAATATTTTTTTTAAAATTTCATCTGCTTAGAATATGTCAGTGATTATCATTGGGGTTCATATAAAATTCTTAGTGCCACAACCACAATCTATTTAATTCAAGAAGCACAATTCTATATCTTTCTTATTTAAAAATAAATGATACATGTTTGATAATACATTATCCTTATTTTTCATATTTAATTTTCCAAAATACATTTAAGCCTCTTAAGATACAGGTCGTATATATCAGTGATGGCAAGATAACATTTGATGGGCCACAAGTTTCCTCAATCACCCATTTATGATAGCTAGAGTCCCAAATCAGTTGGTAGCCACAGTAGAAATATAGGTGATTTTCAGCATTGCGATTTGGTTCCCTCTCAAAACTTTAAGGGTATTAAAATTAAGAAGATTCTCTAGCAAGAAAATCTCTCCAATCTCCTTTTAAAATCTCCATTCACATTCATTTATGTATAAAAGGCCGTCAGTAACATTTGAAAGTTTTGTTGTTGAATTTCAACAGTATGACTTGAACCATTTCAGTTTAATCCTCCCAGACAAAAAACAGTACATTTTTTCCTGATGTCACAGCTTTTCATATTTAATATATTTTTAATCTCAGATCAAATGATTGCTTCATATCCAAAATGTATTTCCAAATTCCACACTGTGGTTTTCATTTATTTCTAAGACATATGGCACATTTTCATAGAAACCATGCTTATTATAATATACTTTTAATATAAACCTTCTATTTCTATTTTATTAGAAAGTAACATATAACCATGTATTTTATTGACATACTTTCCATATGAGATATTGTTAGGAGACTTTAATCATGGCATTTCCAGATTTAATATAGAAGAATTAGGATTCAGTACCTTAATAATTAATCTAATACAGTTTGTGACACAAAGTCAAAATTGTTACACTATCATCCCACTCCTACCTTTCTAAAGTTATAGACATTAGATCTGAAATATTCCACTTTGGCTTAGTTTAGTTATTTCACAATATGCTATTTTATTTTTAAACAGACACAGACACAGACACAGACACAGACACACACACACACACACACACACACACACACACACACACACACAGGTAGACAGGCAGAATAGCTATGATGGATCCAAAGCGCAGATCTGATATCTTTTCTATTATCATTCAGCATACTATCTATTTTGAAAGGGTAGCACCAGTATGTTCTAAACATGGATAGAAAGCTACAGTTTCAGGTAGGTTGAAAGTTCTTATCTCTGTGAAAGCTGTTTCAGATAGTCCTCGACTTAAACCTGGTTGTTTAACCACCACTTAAAGTTACAAAGGTCTCATAAAGGGTGCTTTATAGACAAAAATCACTTCTGATTCTTGGTGTCTCTTTCTGTATTCCACCAAAGTCATTCCTTCCACAAGAAGGAGAGCTAACTTCCTTCTTCAGGCAACTCTTTCAGCCAGCCTCTAGAGATGAGAGGGAGCCAAAATCCAAGCAGAGAGTGGAGAGACAGCAATAAGAGTAACCCTAACCCTTGTGGTAAGATGGGCAGCATTTTTTTTTAAAATAAATGATATAAACAAATAAATTTAAATACAAATAAATAAGTAAATAAATACATACATAATAAATAAATAAATATTTTGTTGTTAGGCAGATGGAGTCTCAGGTAAGAGCCTCAGGTGAATGGGAGAGGCTTTGGAAGGCCCAGTGTAGGCCACATGCAAATGTCTCTGCCTCAGGGGCTGAAAATTCTGCTAGAATTTCAGCAGGGATTTTCAGCTCCTCCCAGGCTCTTCCACCCAGAGTATCCTGTGCTCCTTACCTGAGACTCTGCCCACTTAACAACACATGCATTCGCTTAACAGACACAATCAGCAATGCTGGGATTACAGATGTTGAGAGAAGCAGTCGTGGGTAAACCATGTGTCAACACTTTGCTGCAACAACTGAGATTTCGATCCTAATTGTGGTTGTAAGTCAAGAGCTTACTTATACTCTCCAACTATATAGTAAATCTCAGGGGTATAATTGCAAAGTCACAGTGCTTATTTTATTGTAATGATAATTCCTTTGTGATTGGAAGTCAGTTTGGCAAATCTTTTTTTTTTTTTTTTTTGCAGGAGAAAGATACAGAAGCCTTGGTTAAACTCTGAGAGCAATCCAATAATGTATTGACATTAGCTTCCAAATGAATCCCATCCACATATGGTTCACTTAAAAGATGTTTCCAAGAGCCTTTCAAACATAATTTGCTTTTCTGTGTCTAATGAACCTCCATCCATCTCTCAAACATTGACAAACATGGCTTTAGAAAGCCACATGTGATCTGCAATCTTGCAGTTCATACACATCAGAGAGTCTCTGCCCTACTCCCCACAAATGGAGAGCCCAAACTGCAGTTAAAGCAGTCCTGTTCAAACAATTTCTTGTGATATACGTCTTACAATCTTACTTCAGATATTCTGAATGTAATAGACAGAAAATACTAAAATAAAATTTAATTATTGAGTGGTCTAGTGGTTAAGGCTGCAGGCTGGAAATCAGGAGGCCATGAGTTTTGCTTTAGGCATGAAAGTTGGCTGAGGGACTTTGGATCAGTCATTCTCTCACAACCCAACTTCCCTCATGTGATATTTTGAAGAAAATAGGAGGAAGGAGTTATTAGGTATTATTCCTTGGGCTATTTAAAAAAAAATAAAGATGGGATTACAAATAAATGACTTTACAACATGCATACACTGAAGACAATGATATGCCAGTTTCATAGACTTTTCCAATATTGGAGAATTTTCATTTTTAACTTAATTACTACTCAATTAACTTTACTGAAAAGGTGCAACTTTGACAAACTGGTATCACTAGTATTGACTGTGTTGACTGTGTCCATTTATGAAAACACTGCTTGTTGGCTATATATATAGTATATAATGTATATATATACATTTAATGAGAGAACATGCCTGCCTTTTGAAGTATACTTATTGTTTGATAACAGCTGTTTTTTAAAGATGTACTGTTATTTTTAAAATTATTACTGTTTATTTATTTTGCTCCAGCAAAAGTGTCTCTCTTTTGGTTCTGTTTCTTGTGTTTCTCTTCTTTTCTCTTTGTCCCCCTATCTTTCTCTCTCTTTCTTGTGCTTTCTCTTTCTCTCTGTCTCTCTGAGGTTCACATATTACATGATGTAAAGATACCATAACAAACTGTTTGGCATACCCTACAGGCAAAGGTCCAGAGACTCTTTTTGCTGGATATAACCTCAATGACAATGAATGGCATACAGTACGTGTAGTTCGAAGAGGAAAGAGTTTAAAGTTAATAGTAGATGACCAACAAGCCATGACAGGTATTAATGACTAATAACTATTCATCTGATTTTCCATTCACTAAGTGTTTAGTTATGATTGCTCTGGTGGTAAAAAATCATTTCAGCTCCTTGGATATAGACAGAAAGTACAACAAAGGACAATTTTAAAAAAAAGTCCATGTGAGGTATTAGAAGAAGACACTTCTGACAGATTGAAGCAGAGAGTAGGAAAACAAAATCAGGAACAAAAGTGATCTAAAGACAAATATAGATACTGTATAATGATATAATAAATTTGAAGGCATCCAAACTTCACACATATGTTTGAAACAGAACATCAATACATTCTGGATAAAAATTGTAGTTGAGTTTAAAAAAAGTAATATTCTTTTCCCTATTACAACATATCAATTTACTTTTCTCTACCATAATCATATCATCAAATCCAAGAACTGATCTAAGTGGGAAGTGGTGGGAAGAAACCCAGAAGAGCAAAGACTTTGATTCTCTAACTTTGTTTGTTATCTTACCTGCTTTTAAATCATTCAAATGTCTCCAACTTTTACTGTGTGCAAAAAGAGAGGCTAAATTGAAGCAATTAAGCCAAATCTTACTAAAAGGTTGCATATAGATAGGGAGGGAGGGAGGGAGGGAGGGAGGGAGGGAGGGAGAGAGAGAGAGAGAGAGAGAGAGAGGGAGGGAGAGAGACCAAAATAATAAAATATTTTTTTTCAATAAATGACACTTTGTCAAATATCTTTTATAAAGATAGATACAAATTATTCTACTCTAAAAAGTGGGGGGGAAATAGACCTTTTTTTTTTGTATTTTGTAATTACCAGAGCTCCTAGAGGTACATGTACACAAGCCTTCAAATTTAAATTTGAATGCTCAAATAGAACATTCATGGGTATTTTCTTCTCATTTACTATATTTTGAGATTCCCCCAACCCTTTGCTTAAATTGATAGCTTTTTCCTTGATTTGATTGCTTAAATTAGGATGACATTGATGCTTAATTCATTTCACTTGTAAGTTATACACTGAGTTATTCTTAAATAACTCAGATTGTTGGATATAATAAGAGAAAAGTACTAAACAAATGGGTCCTTCCTGCAGATATACTTTCTATGTGAAAATACATGAGGTAGAATTACATGGTCAGGGTTGCGTAAGAGACTTCAGCATTTGAAATGGCCCTAGCTTTTTGGTTATAACACTAACTTCTCAAAATTGCTTTTTACTTAAAGGTCAAATGGCTGGGGATCATACAAGACTGGAATTCCATAATATAGAGACGGGAATCATAACGGAACGGCGTTACTTGTCCTCAGTCCCTTCCAACTTCATTGGTCATCTACAAAGCCTCACTTTTAATGGCATGGCATACATTGACTTGTGTAAAAATGGGGATATTGACTACTGTGAACTAAATGCCCGTTTCGGCTTCCGGAACATCATTGCCGACCCAGTCACTTTTAAAACGAAAGCTAGCTATGTTGCTCTTGCCACATTGCAAGCATACACATCTATGCACCTGTTTTTCCAGTTCAAAACAACATCATTGGATGGGTTAATACTTTACAACAGTGGAGATGGCAATGACTTTATCGTGGTTGAATTAGTAAAAGGGTGTGTATGCAACCTGTTTTACAGATGTTATCAGCTCAGAAAGCTTAATGGACATTTATTAGGCAAGCTCTTGGACTCTATGACCTTTGTTCTGATCCATTAGTGTGAGTTCCTGTGTCCTTAAAGATGAGCACTGTTTACCCTTCTAAGAAATACATATTTGGATGGTGCTTCTTACACTGCAGTTTCAGACCATTGTTCTCCAGTGTAAACCTTTGGCTAAGAGAGTAGCTAACAAGACCCTTATGTATACTAGTATTTTTTCTAACACTGGTTGAGCCTTCACAGGCTTAAGGTAGCAGCTTCCCTCAGTAGGAATTAAAACTATATTGAAGTCAACCTTTAAGGAACATTAAAATATTATTGATATATTTAAATATATAAAGAATAGAAATGCGTCCTCCACAAGGAGGATCATGTTCAATACTATAAAAGAGAAAAATAGCAAAGAGATCAACCTTTAAAAGTAAGTGGACCTCTGATAAAATCTACCTGCTTGTTCTACCAGTGTTGTTTTGGTAAAAGCCACATTTTTTGAAAATTAATCTGGCTTCTCACTATTCTGGATCTGAGGGGGGAAAAACATTTTAATAAAGCTAGCTCTGGATGAGAAGAGATCTTCCAGGAAAATGTAATCATCAATTTTACACATTTTCATCCCACAGCATTTATTTTTCACTTATGTGAAATATTTTCATCTTTCCTCTCCCTTGAAAAAGCAGGCAAAATATGTTTCTGTTCCTGTTACACCACTAATTGCTCAGCTGGAACTTACTTGGCAGTTGCAACAGAAAATGACTTTCCTGTATTTCCAACTGTCCAGAGCTTAGCATTATTCAAAGGCATTATTGGAAACCAGATTAGTTCATTCCGTACTGGAACTGTGATATGAGTTTAATTAGTGAAATTATAATAATAATGACCATCACCATAATCATCATTATCCCACTGGCCCTGTTAGTAGGTAAACCTATGGCTGGAAGTTCATGCTGGTATAAATGTTGGTGGGCTTTGTCTAAAAACTAGAGCCCCAGGATCTTTTTCAGATCTTTTGTCTGGAGTAATTACCTCACAATAAAAAAGTACATGCCATGAAATCCTATGAGGAACTCTGTTGGCAAAGTCTAAGGTTCAATATTTTTCTCTGCCAAGTAAGAAGTTATTTATTTGAAAACTAATTTAGCCTAGTTACTGAAAATATTTAAATATATAGTAGCTACATATCTTCTGACGGAATTATCATTCTTTGGAATGAATTGCAATTGCTCTTTTGAGAAATTCAAAACTTTCACTGGGGAGAGCTACAAAAAATTAATAGTTTAGATAAAGCAGTAAAGTTCTGCATTTGTATTCAGAATTTTTTTAAAAAATATAGTGCCAATATACGTACCAGATAGAACTAACTGGTGAAAGAAAAAAATATCCAAAATAATCTCAATTTGTTTATACAGCTTTGATAGGGATAGAATAAGTTTGCCACAGAAAAAGTAAAATTTACAAGTCATAAAAAGGGTGTAAAAATGAAAAAAATAACTTCAAGAGATTTCAATCGAATTAATACTGCTGTTTTAACTCCATACTTAATGAATAAAAGATGTAGAGGGCTAAGGTAGGGAAAAGAAGCTGAAGTCAACGTTATAATTTCCTTCTGCTATACCTTTAATAGATGGCATATTAAGGAGGCTATTTTGCTTAATATTCTCAGAAGAATTTGATACTTTTTAAAAAATTCTCTCAACATTTTTGACTTAGACATTTTGATCTGTCCCAAGTTAGTCTTGTTAAATGTAAGAGGAGTTGATTAAGAACTTTATGAATTGCCAAATAATTTAAATAAAGAAAAGAAGCAGTGAAAAGCTGTAATTTTCATCTACCTACTCAGTTTAACTGTTTTTCATTTTCGTTTACAGGTATTTACATTATGTGTTTGATTTGGGAAATGGTGCAAATCTTATCAAGGGCAGTTCCAATAAACCTCTGAATGACAATCAATGGCACAATGTGATGATATCACGGGATACCAATAATCTCCATACTGTAAAAATTGACACAAAAATCACAACGCAGAGCACGGCAGGAGCAAGAAACTTGGATCTCAAAAGTAAGTGACAGTGACAGAAACAATAAAAGGGCTACAAGAACAGAGTGTATATTATGATATATATATATATATATATATATATATATATATATATATATATAT